TATATATATAATGCCTTCATGGGTGAAGGCAAAACTACTGATGGCTGAAAGCCACTGGTCTTGTAACCAGGAGGTCGAATCACCTGATCTCTGACCATGCAGTCCCCAAGAAAACCTAATTTTCAGAGACATAAGGTAAGTTGTGCTTAGGCATCAAGTAATATGTGATAGCAAGACCTGTTCCTCTTGAGAGACCTGCTCTTGGGGGACTTGACCTTTGCTCTGCTGCAAGATACCAAGGCCTGTGCGGCATGGCTGGCCCAGGAACATCTTCCAGCCACCACTTACGCAGTGTCTGTTAAAGGCTGCTCACAACCTGCCCAGTGACAGAACCACTTCCTGCCATTTTGAGGGGCTGCACTAGACCACTTTCCCTACCTCCTGCAGACCTCACTGCTCTGCCACCTGGTGACCACACTGTCCAGCACCAGAGCACCAATATTACAGCTACTTTGGGTGAAACACTGCTGTCTAGCAACATCACATGGGCTTTCTTTTTTTTTAATTTTTTTTTTCACATGGGCTTTCTTAAGCTCAAGCAGAAGACGCCAAGGGGAAGCATGGTTTCAGGAGGGCAACAGTCCTCCTGAAAGTCTTCCTGAAAGTCGCCCCTGGTTGACTGTTCTTCTGAAGAGGGGGAGCACCAATATATAGGTCAGTAACAAAGCATTGCCATACCCTGGGTTATTACATAGTATCTGCTAAGAAAAGACTCACGGAATGTCAAGAAAGCAGCAGGCTGCCTTAGTCATCAAGAAAAAACAAAATGAACTTTCTCCTAAAAAGGCAGACCCAATGAATACCCCAGACAGAGAAAAGCAGAAGAAATATGATCACGTGGAGTTATTTGAAGAGCTACAGAAGAAGATGCAAAAGATCCAAGAAACACTGGAAGTCATTAAGAGAGCAAATACCTCAGAGATAGCAATCCAGAAGGGGGGGAAAAAAACCAAAACATAGTGATGAGGAGTAACTTGAACAACTATGGAAGAAAATGGGGGGGGGAAGAAAGAAAGAAAAAATTGATAGTACAGATACAGAGTTACAAGAACTTTAAAAAAATCATCACAAGACAGAGAGGGTACAACCAACACATTACTGGAAATAACAGAAAAGCATGAAAATGCAATCCAAAATATTAAGACCTACATGGCAGAAGTTTCCAACATCCTCGTGGGACAAAAAAGTAGAAATGACAAGATGGAACAGAGAGTCAATGAGCTGGAAGATAAAAGCCTCACTGGAAACATACTAGAAGAAAAGTTAGAGATGAGATATAAAGAAAACACTAGAATCATATGAGATAACTTCAAAAGGAACAATATACATATTACTGGAATTCCAAAACATGGGAGTGACAGGGAAGTCACTGAGAAAATTGTGGAAGAAGTACTAGAAGAAAACTTCCCTGGTATTTTGAAGAATGAGAAAATACATACTCAAGAAGCACAGCGAACACCAAATAGACTAGACTCACATAGAAAAACATCAAGGCATATCATAGTCAAATTCTCCAAAGTAAAAGATAAAGCAGTGTAAATAAAACCGTTACCTACAAAGGGGAAACAATTAGATTAAGTTCTGACTTCTCAGCAGAAACCATGTGAACTAGAAGACAATGGATGACATATACAGAAAGTTGTAAGAAAACAATTGTCAGTCATGGATCCTATATCCAGATAAGCTCTCCATCAAATATGAAGGAGAAATTAAATCCATTACAGAAAAGAAGGAACTTAGGGAATTTGAGTAAACAAGGCCAAAACTACAAGAAATTTAATTGAAGTCCTTTACACTGAGACACCAAAGGTAAGTGGATAGACCATAGTAGCCACAAACAGGAAAAGAAATATAGCAAAATCAAAGTAAAACCTGGCCTGACAATAATCATACTTAATATGAATGAACTAAATGTGCCATTCAAGAGAAAAAGAGTAGCAGAATGGATTAAAAAACTCAAAGTACATCAATATGTTGCCTACAAGAGACACATCTCAAAAATAGAAAGACAGACTCAAAATCAAAGGCCGGGGAGAAAAATATACCAAGCAAATGACAACCACAAAAGAGCAGAAGTGGCAATACTAATCTCTGATAAAACAGATTTCAGAGTGAAAACCACCCTCAAAAATAAGAATGGACATTACATACTGATTAAAGGCACAATATATCCGAAAAAAAAATATGTTATAATGTTGGGCCACTGGCAGTCATTTATATGTGTGCTATATGACCTGATAAAGTCATGTCATCTATGTCACTCAAGTAAAGAAAAAGTTTCTCTCAACAATGATATAACTCTGGAGAAATCGTACATGAATTTTAAATGGTAGGAGTTTATCCTACTTAATTTTTTTCTCAGAACATTGTTTGATTCTAAGTCTCAAATAATTACATGTTTTATTTGATAATAAGTAACTCAATATTAATAGTGATACCAAGTTTCTACTTCTGGTAGATGTCATACAATTTTTAATGCTGTTATTCAAACTGGATAGTGTTTTATGCCATGTAATTTTTAATGCAGTATGATTCAAACAAATAGTGTTTAATAAATACAAACAGCAAAAGCTATTGGCTATATAGATAGACATATTATCCCACGTTTAGGTAAGACAATCTACTCCAGACTGTTCTCGAGGAGAACAATGTATTAAGCACTTGAACCTATAAAACCAGACATAAAGCATTTTAAATAAAGAATACAAAGCATTTTGAATAGGAAAGTCATAACTTACCAATCTGGGCCATAATCTGGCAAAGAGCAATTTGTTTTAAATATGTTGATTTTCCACTCATATTTGGTCCAGTTATGATCAGAAAATTACTCCCTTCTGTAATATAGGTATTGTTGGCAATTGGTTTTTCCACAGTTATTTTTTCAAGAATGGGATGCCATCCCTGTTTGATTGCCAAAGTATCCGTAAACTCTGGTCGAACTAAAAAAATAAAATAGAATGGTTTTAAGAGATTGACATACTTCAGTATAAAGATTACTTTGCGGGTATGCATTACATATAACTTAGTGATCTCATAAGATCAAATCTGGAAAATAACACTATAATTTTACCCCAAATCACTACCTGCTACTGTGAGCTTCTGTTGAATTGACTCCAACTCAAGTTGTTGTTGTTGTTGTGTGCCATCGAGTCAAATACAACTCATAGTGACCCTATGAACAAAATATCTGACCCTGTTCTATCCTGTGCCATCCTCACACTTTCTGACACACAAGAGCCCATTGCATGATACATCTTCATGTTACATGCTACATCTTCAAGGATATGAACATGTACGGCTAAGCACAATTGGTAACAGCGCATCTAAATTCCAAACTCAATCTCCACAATAGTCTACGTGTTTCCTATTACCAAAGGGACCCTTTAGAGTAGTGAGAGAAGATCTTCACCCTGAAACCCACAGCGTCCCTTTTCAGCAGGAAGTAGCTAAGAGAATACTCCGTCCCCTTTTCCTTATGAATCAGGGTGAAGTCTCTCTCAGGGAGGAGTGATAGGGAATGGCAAAGGACACACTGACAAAGGAGATTAATCAGAACTGGCTTTGACAAGCACTGTGGCAATTGGACAATTAAAACAGACTTTCAAGGGGGGGAAGAGGAAAAAACTGGGGGGAAGATAGAGAAAATAGTGAAACAATGAATAAATGGAAAACCAAAATCTCTGTAAATGTTCATTAAAATGAATAAAATTTAATAAATAAAAAAGAGCCCATTGCAGCAGTCACCATGTCAATCAACATAGTTAAGTGTCTTCGTCTCCTTTGCCAACCCTCCATCCTTCCCAGCATCTGTCTTCTCCAAGGAATAGCCCCTCCTAGCAACATGTTTCAAGTGTGAGGCGAAGTCTCATGATTCTTGCCTCCAAAGTGCACTCTGGTTGCATCCTCTCCAAGACATATTTGTATGTTCTTTTGGCAGTCCATGGGATAGTTAGTGTTCTTCTCCAACTCATAGTGACCCATAAATTATGACTGATATCCTCTCAATACCATCATAACTTTTATTCAATTCTGGATTTAGTTTTATGATACATTTCTAGGTTCCAAAATGGTTTATAAAATTTACAAATTTGTATAGGTTAACCCCCCTCCCAAACCAACCATTGATAATATATTTAAAATTACAATTATCAGGACTAATAGAATTACAAATTTACTTAATATTATTTAAATTTGAATACTTAGCTTTCAAAATAAGTTGTGAAAAAGAGTAAATTAAACACAATGACAATTTGCTGCCCATGATTTTGGGGAAATTTTGTCCCAAAATAAAACTCTGAGGAGAATATCAGGCTCAAAGGTATTGTTAATTTTTAGTAACAATAATCATCAGGTCTTTGTGATTAACTTCTGAATAGAGGGAGAAGGAAGAAAGTGAGAAGACATGAAAACTCTAAATAAAACACATAGGAAAAACTTGAAGCAGTCATTAGGAAAATGAAGTTCAAGAGAATTTTCAAAATTTCAAATAATTTCAAAACCACTTTTTTTTTTTTTCAAAACCACTTTTAACACCAAAAATTTATTACTTACAGGTTTGAGCTTTCAGAATGGCCTTTTAGAAATAAACAACATTAAATCTTTTTTTTTCCAGTTTCCTTTGTGTGTGTGTGTGTGTGTGTGTGTGTGTGTGTGTGTTGAAAAGATCTACTGCTAATGACCTTTTTATTTTCAATTTTTTAAATGGCTTGTTTACAAAGTTCATATACATTGTGTTTCACACTATTCTTTATTTACATTGTGTTTCATACAATTATCCTCATGCATTACGGTTTTTTTATTTTTAGGGGTATTATTGTTATTAATTTTAATGAAAATTTACAGAGACTTTAGATTTCCTTTCATTCATTGTTGCTCTTTTCTCCCTGCCCACCCCTCCTCCCCAGTTCTCTCTTCTCTTTGAAAAGTAAAAGAAAAAGTCTTTCATTCATATGCAATCCCTCCCTCCAAGCTCACTCCACTATGCAGCCTTTGTTCTGGACTCCTGTCATAACAATAATACCTAATCACATATCCCTTTTAAACAGTTCTCTCCCTCATCTGTTTCAATGCAGTATACATTATTTAGCCCATCTTTTTTAATGCTTAAGTAAATTACTATCAAATTATACCTGATCCCTTTGCTAAGATTCTGATCCCAAGATAAAATTAAATGGTTGTAAAAGTTTGGACCCATAAAATATTAATAGAAATTGTTAATATTTTCATGTTGTTGTTCTGTGCTGTAAATTGTGTGGGAGGAGACTACCCATCCTTCTACTGCAAAGCAGCTGATAGATTCTAACCATGTGCCTTTGGTATTATAGCATAGCTTCTTACAACTAGGCCACCAGTTTCCTCATTTTATATTATTTATAATATTCCCTAGATATGGATATTTATAATATCTGTAATATTTCCATAAGACATAAAAATATCCATCCTTGTATGGTTATTTACAGCTATAAAAATAAATTAACATAGTATTTTTGAAATGCTACTTTTTACTTAACTAGACACTTGATTAAGTCTGAAACTATTCAATCATAATGATCACATAGTAGTTCTACAAATTTACATACTGAGGTATGATTACTGGTAAACTGAAAAAGAAAATTTAAGATGTTAACTTCAAGTACTTACCTAACATTAGAAAATTATTAGCATTTATATTGAAGGTCTGTATGTACAGACTTGGGATACAAAAATAAATTACATATTCATATCATGGATTGCTCACCTCTAAGAAGCTAAACATAAACTCAACCTGCTGACTTCTCAGCAGGTTACCCAAGGCTGTAAATCACACAGGAGGAGAATGTCCACCTTCCTCCCACAGAGCTAGGGGTGCATTCAAACTGGTTGCCTTCAGGTTGGCAGCATAATTCTCTATGGACTGAACTGTTGTTGTGGTTGTGCACTGCTGGGTCAGAACCAACCCATTTTCTGTAAACTGTACCAGAGACTGACCATCTTTCTCCCACAGTGAATCTGGTGAATCAAACTGCATGCCTTTGGGTTTGGCAGCACAATTCCTTACCACCAAGCTACCAGAACTCCCTCTTTATGGACTACATCACCAAAATTCCTTAAGAATCTAATTTAGAAAATGCTAACTTTGGACATTTACCTCTTTCTTAATATATATTAACATAATATATAATATATATTAATATCTATACCTCACTCACATATTAGTTTATCAGACTGGTGGTTGTGTGTTGCTGTGATACTGGAGCTTATGCCATCAGCATTTCAAATTCCAGCAGAGTCACTTATGGGTACAAGTTATACTGGAACTTGCACACTTAAACAGACTAGGAATAAATACTTAAAGATGAGTAAAGGAGCTCTGGTGGCCTAGTAGATAGAATAAGTTTTAAGATGGGCAGGTAGAATCCACCAGTTGCTCTTTGAGAGAAAGAAAGGCAATCTCCTACCTTAGGATCCACCATAACTTGGTTCTGACTCAAGGATGATGAATTAATTTAAAGAAAGTGAATAAAGATCATACTTGTTCTTTTTTTCCTTTTAAATGCTTCGGGTATTCAGTCACAAAAGGACAAATATTACATGATGCCACTGTTGTAGAATGGGACTGTCCTTGGGGTTGGGGAGAGACTGAGTAAGATGGGTTCAATAATGTAT